GTGACAGGAAGGCTGGATGGCCAAAGGTGCAACTTTGTCATAGATTCTGCATCTCAGCAACCCTTGTGAGTATCAAGATGCTGGATCACAAAGGAGTACCAGAAGCCATACAGAAGCTCTGTGGTATGACAGGACATTCTGCAAGGTTGTGAGACCAGTGTGGGTAACTCTTGAGCTCACGGGCATAAAGGACAGACACGAAGTATACGTGGCAGACATTGAAGACCAATGCATATTAGGGATGGACTACTTACTACCGAGGAAGTGTGTAATTAATTTTGATAAAATGACGTTTGTGAACAACAAAGGCCAAATACCAGTAAGTGTTAAAAGAGAGGTTGAACTAACCAGGTGCCATCAAGCTGAAGTCAAAGTAACTGAAGGAGTTGATGTTGGTGAAATGGAACCAGGAATAGATATTAAAACAGAGCAGGAGAAAGATCAAGATATGAAGCCAATAATTGATTTTCTAAAAGCAAGTGTTTTGTGCCCTGCTTGGGAGAAGGTGTCTAGCTTAAGTCCTGTGACAAAGAACTATTGGGCACAATGGGACCAATTGAAGCTTGAAGATGGTATTCTTCTCCGGAGATGGAAAACTGCTGCCAGAATATCAGAAATCAATGGTTCATGACTGTACCAACAAGTTGGATTCAGTACAGCAACAAGAATTCGGTATGTTTCAGGTTGAATAAAAGTGTTTGTTAGACTTGATTGTTGTTTCAGTTGGACAACAGTAACTAATTACAAAATAGATATAGGTTATGCTTGTTTATTAAAACAACCACTACTTGGATTTCTATAGAGCCCTAGTGCTATAGCTAGCACTGACGGTAAATGTTCAAGGATGGAGATATACAGGCTACAACCGTTAGACAGTGTTTGTTGATTTTACACTGGCGAATGCATTGGCCACGTTGTTATCTTCCTGCTTCTGTGGATAGTTGAACATTTGAGTGTGACAAGAAGGTGTTTGTTGCCTTAGCTATTTAGATCTGGCTTCAGGATATTTGCAAATCAAGGTGGATGGTAAAAGTAGGAAAATACTGCAGCGTCCGAGATGGTCTGTACCAATTCCAAACCATTCCATTCAGCCTTTGTAACAGTTGCCTACCTCTGCATGTTTACAACTCTGCTTTTGTCGTATTGTGGTTTGCAAAAGCAAAAAAATAAAAATAAAACGCACGATAAAATACTAAAATTTGACAAGACACATATACGTCTCGAATTATAGTTTTTTTTAAAAAAAACGTTCTTGAGTAGAAAAATATATTTTTACATTTTTGTAAAAAGGAAAACAATAGTTCATCAGTATGAAGAGGAAAAAAGCAGAAATACCTTACTATTAGATATTGGGTTTTATTTTCTTAAGTTGAATTTATTAAAGTTCTATTACTCGATATATGAATAATTTTGAGCACAAGACGGATTTTTAACTAGTAAATTGAATCATATATATGTGCTTGGTGGAATAAACGTTACAGTGCTCGTGTAAAAGGAAGAGGTAAAGATGCAGAGTGAAAAAGGTAGATATACGTAAGTAATTGAAATTTGTATTATAGTACATTAACTGTTTAAGTGTATTAAGTAGAAGGAATTAAGTCCTATTTCAAATTTTGATGTAAAATTTGGTTAATTTATTTTAATAAATTAATTTTTATTATTTATAATAAAGTTATAACTTTTAATTTAAGTTGTATTCTCTTAATTGGTATTCGGGAAATTAATTTCCGACTATAAGTAATTTTGTATAAAACTTTAAAAATATAACTTTGCAGTTCAAACTAACACCAGTACGGCAGTAGGTAGTGACAATAACGTTCGTAAAGATTACTGTTAAAAGAAAAAAGTTAGCCGTAATAGTTATTATTAAATGAAGTTTTTAGTGTACTAATTGAAAAGACTAATGTAGTGACAGTGTAATGCAGTATTACTACAAGAGCTATTAAGTTAGTACTACTGTACTGACAGTGACACTAACAGTAACATAGTGCTGATAATATAAAAATTATGACAGTGTCAAGTTCTGTATTGATACATTGATCGTCTATTTTGACAATTGTCATCAAATACAAAGCACTAAAATTTGAAGTTATACAGAATTAATTTTTGAAGAAAACATGCTGTTCAAGGGACAAAATGCTAGAAAAATCTATTTGTCCCTGCACAGTTCCAAGTACACACCCAAATCAAATGACTTTTAGGGTTTCCCTATTATTTAACAATGAAGAATAATTAAAATTAGTATGTGTTATAGAGGTATGAATGTAAAATATAATAAAGAATGTAGATAACTGCCCATTTAAACAGGTTAAAAAATTGTATTTGTTAAGCACTAAAAATAAGGTTTTGAACAAAATGTCTTCATCAGAAAACAATGAATAATTAGCAATTAATAATAATTTTTGCTTCATGCAAAAAAAACTTAATTCATACTCTCCAAAACTGAGTTTTGTACATGATACATACCAAACAAAAAGATTCAAAGTAAGTCAGACTTCACCTGTTATGATAGTAACAAAGAATCATGGTTCGTGTGTCCCCTAGCATGCTTGGTGCCACCAGCAATCGGCCAGTGTACTAAATAGCTTTTCTTGGGGTGAAGTCCTCCAACTTGGGCCCTGTAAGTAATAAGAAGCATCAAATCTTGCAAGATATCCTGATTAAGCTGTGTTGGAAAGAGCTCTTGATGACATTCATGGATGAAAACAAATTCAGCTTCTGCTGTTGGCATACTGAAAATATACATCTTCACCAGCTTTAAGATATCGCTATGATGGCAGATTTTGTTAACAGTATATAGCCAGAACTGAGCTGGTATGTTTTGTGCTTTTAAGTTTTTCACGTATTCTCTAAGTCCACTAAACTTCCTATCAGTCCCCCCCCCACCCACCCCTAGTGAAAAGGACATCAGAATGGACTTGGATTTGATCTGAGCTTTTCTCTATTTCTTATTTTGTGTAGTCAGAAATGATGAATCCTTGAGCTGGCCCTCAGTTGAAGTTGGAAAACCTGACATCAGTATACTTTACCATATTGTCAATAAGCTTAATATTTCTTGTTAAGCTGACTTCTAAAGAGCATTTACCAGACAATTTGATCTTCCACTTATTAGCTGAATCATCCCCAAACTTTTTCCCCCTCTCTGAATGGTATATCTTGAACTGCTACATGTGTAAACCTAATTCATTTTTCTGTTCTACTGACCTTAAGTTACATTACTTTATTGCAGGCTGGACATATAGCAACAGCAGGTCATAAATAGGCTCTCTCTTAGACTGTGGTGTTTTGATGAAATTGACACCAGTGACTTCAGCAAGTAATTTCTTGGTCTTAACTGCTGACTCATCACAACCAGCAGGTTTTTCTGCATGAATCCAAGACATTTGCTTTGTTTGAGACTAGTCTCACCTGTTTAACGTCACTAGTGTTTTTTTTTTTTCAGTATTCTAGTAAAATTTTAAAATCCACTTTAAAGTTACTTCAAACTGAGCAATGTAAATTAAGGTTTTCTCTGTATCTAGAATTACCAGCTGAAACGTGTGAGCTACACAGTGGAATGGAAATAGATAAGGGATATCTTTCTCTCTCTCTTTTTTAAAAATATTTTGTAGTAATAATTTTGCAGTACCACCTTTTGAGCCTCATCAGAATTAACTAATATTAATGTTAGACCTAGTTTTTTTTTGGGGGGGGGGGGGGGGGGGAAGACTTCAAATCTTTTAAATCAAAAGGCAACCTCTTGATTCATTTTTTTTCACATCATGCAGAACATAACTCATTCAACGACACTGTGTTGGTTAGGGTTGTTAATGGGGAAAAAGCTCTATTATGTTAGCAGATCATGTTCCACTGGAGCATGCACAAGCATTAGAACTGCCTGATGCCAGAGTCTGCTTGAAACATTGCATAAAATAAACTAGAAAATGTTTTCATTTAAATGTGTGAATTTATTCGTTATTATAATATGTCTAAGTTTAAAGGCTCCTATTTTTAAACTTTTATATTTAAAAATTGGGTTTTAGGCTTAACTTTTAGGTTTTTGATTTATTAGTAGTCTAATGTTGTTTATTTTTTTTTGCCCTTGCATGTTTTTGGTTTTTTTTGTCTTTAATGAATTTTGAAATGCAATTCTCTATTTGGTTGTCAACAAATTCTTCCCTGTCTTAATGTTTTTTTTGTATTCTTTTAACATACATCTTGTAATCCCTTAAAAAATTTAGCCCACTTTTTTTTAAGTGTCTTAATTAATTATTTTTGATATTGATCTTTTGATATATATTTAGTTAGTATTTTTAGCCTTTTTGTGATAATTTTTAGTGCCATCGTGACATGGAACTCTTTCCCCCTCCTCCCAAACAATACTATTTTTGATTAAATGAAAATATGTTGTACTTGAAAGTTGCATTAACTTAAATATTTATTCAAATCACTTTCACTTTTGTACAGCTTTTACAGGTGGAACGATCTGAGTATAGGAATTACTGATATTTTCTTTGGTTCATGAAGGGGTCCAGGAGGAAAAGTTGAAAACCATTGCCCTAGAGACATGTCAAAAGTTTTAACATTAGCTTTTTTTCAGTTTAAATTGGGAGTGCTCAAGCTGTGGGTTGGGAAGTCTTAGTACTAGAGCTGGGTGATTAGTGGAATTTGCTAATTAATTAATCAACAGACTCATCAACTAATTGATTATTACATCACTGAAGTAAAAAAAAATATTGCTAACAATTGAGTTTCAACACCTATGGTGGGCAGAACACAGATAGCCAATTGAGTAGCTTTGTGCTTAACAATAAATCTACATAATAGCAATGTTTTGACTACTTGGATTGTTGAAATAATTGGAATCCCTAATTTTGATTAGTTGATTATTCTTATGAGTCATAATTAACACTTGTAATACACTCGCAGCTTTTCAATCTTTCCACCGACAACTTGCCAATCATGGGAACGCCCTTTATACACTCGGCAACTGTAAGTAAAAATTAAAAACAGTATCAGTAATGAAGAATATAAAGTAAATAATTATATTAGTTAATCAAGTCAAACAAAATCACCAGATTTCCGTGCTTTGTATGCATGACTTTTGCACATCTCTATCAAAAATCACCAGATTTCCGTGCATTGTATGCATGACTTTTGCACATCTCTATCAAAAATCACCGGATTTCCGTGCATTGTATGCGTGACTTTTACACATCTCTATCAAAAATCACCGGATTTCCGTGCATTGTATGCGTGACTTTTACACATCTCTATCAAAAATCACCGGATTTCCGTGCATTGTATGCGTGACTTTTACACATCTCTATCAAAAATCACCGATTTCCGTGCATTGTATGCTTGACTTTTACACATCTCTATCAAAAATCACCGGATTTCCGTGCCTTGTAT